TCTGGCTCTCATCCAGCAAGCCGTACCTGTTCATACGCCTCAGGAGTGCATCACCCTCAAAGATCCTGCGTGGGTCCTTCTCATCAAGAGTAAGAAGCATTCTTGCATTATTCCTAATACGACTCAAAGCATATTGAACTCTCCACAGCTCCCTCTTGCATCGAAGCCCATACTCACCCACAAGCTTCAACTCAGCATCCAAACGCTCTTTCTCATATGGACGACGTGGCTTCTTGAATGTCTTTCCATAGTTGCGGTAAAATGAAACGTGAACCATGTTGACCGACGGCCGGTCAGAACCTCAGCTCGGCGATCTGCTGTGGAGAAGGGGAGCTGACACGAGAATCTTGTGGTTCAATAATTTTATTTTTGTTTTATTATTATTATTATTATTATTATTATTATTATTATTATTATTATTTCGTATTTTTTGTATTTTTTGTATATTGACAGGTAGCTTTAATCGTCATTGACTTTTTTTTTGAAAGGTAATCGTCATTGGCTTTTGTTGTTCAAATTTATTAAAATATTGTAGAGCATATGATAGTAATTAGTGTGTGCGTTCTTGGTGTGAAGTTTGTGCGTAATACTGGGAGTAGTAATTGGTGGGTGCGTTCTGGGTATTAAGCTTGTGCGTAATGTTGTGGTTTTAGGATCCAAATTTAGGTGGGTGTGCTGGTGAGGGAAAATGGGTGCGTTCTAGGTATTAAGCTTGTGCGTAATATTGGGTTGTTAGGATCCAAATTTAGGTCTGTGCGCTGGGGGGCGGGGGCGGGGGGAAGTGTGTGCTCAGGTGTATGATAATTATTTTTACTATGTTGTGGTAACTTTTTTTGGTAACTTTGCATTAATTTTGGTATGACTAGGTGTCAATGCTGTAGATGCAGTAGAGGCTGTACAATTGCTGTCGTCCGAGGATGTTGAAGCACCCCCTGTTGCCCAACCAGACTCGGATTCGGATGGCTCGGATGATGGGCTTGATGCGGATGAATTGATGCGGTGTTGTCGTTTCTTTGAATGTCTATTTTTTTTTTAAATGAACAATGCAGACTACCGGTTTTCCACTCGGGTTTAAATTTTTTCCAATTTCTCATGTCTTACGCTATTCTATCTTCATGCACAAACCAGCAAAATCATACGTCATTCCAATCATACGCACACCATATTTACGCACTTAGATTGCACATACACAGTTAATTGCACACACTATTACCCACATGCTTCCATATGAGAGTGTAGTATTTACTATTTTATGAAATTAAGGAATAATATATTCCATAAAATAATGGCAAACAATCTGTTACATCATTTTAAAATAGTGTACATTTTTTTTATATCACGCACAAACCACATGATAGAAGAAAAATCATATATGACACACAACTAAAATACGGTTGCATGCACACAACCATTGGACAAGATAATGCACACATATACACGCATACACACACAAAGGAACATGCACACGCTCAACTACATGTACGAACACACCACCATAACTATTCAAATATGTGCAAGAAAAAATAAACGAAAAACCTCTATTACCTTCTTTTCCATTAAAAAAAAAAACAATGGAAAGCACAATACATTAGGCATACATCTAATACTAATTTTCTACAATAAAAACCGCGGGGCCAAAAACACTTCTACACAAACATTTCTACACACACGCACACACCGATGTGTATAAACACTGCGTTCCATAGCACACCAACCAAATAATACGCATACCGTCTAATTCATTCAAAATGCACTAACAATATCATTCCACACACACCCCTTATAGTAATGTACAACATGCACACGCCAACTTAAACAAACGCACACACCAACACTCTACCAATTACCCAAATGTTTGTGCATTCTTCATTTTAATACAAAATAACAACAAAAACCTCCAATGCCCCGTGTTCCCCTTTCATATCAATTGAAAGAAACAAATCAACACGACACAAAAACAAATTCGTTACGTTTTATTACGCACACGCCGTCGGTCAACAGTGCACAGACCAACGTCCAAAAACAATTTATAAATCAAGGCAGCAGCTCATACCTGTGATAGTAGTCGCCATCTTCAACTTCTGCAATGTTCTTGCGCTTCAACACCCTTTGTTGATGGTTTGAGTGGTACAGCTACTAACCATATTGGATTACTACTTATTCTCATTATATTTGTGGTCTTTCATTAATTCAAAGATTCCATTCTAATTCTAACCAAAATTAACACATTAATAGAATTACTCTTTAACCCTCTTAATTAAAATATGACCTTATTTACACTATATTTCTCATTCAATCTCATCCTTCCATTACAAATTTATAAATGGATGGGATCTCATCTCGCCATCTCATTTAATAAAGGGGTCTCATGGGATCTGCACCCTATATATATGTATATATATATATATATATATATATGTATATATATATATATATATATATATATATATATATATATATATATATATATATATATATATATATATATATATATATATATATATATAGGGATGCACTCAGGTGCGAATAAGTGCTCAGGAGGGAAATGCGAACGAATCAGCGCGCGACACGTGTCTAGATCTAATAACTTAAAAAAAACGCGGTGACATTTTCGCAAATAATTGAACATCGAAGTGCAAGTAAAATCACTTACAAGTGCACCTACTTTCACCTATAAGTGCATGTAATTTTGCTTTGTTAGCATTCACTTTCCGCAAACATTCATGCACCTGGGTGTGCTGATAACTATATGTGCAACTATTTATAACTATAGGTGCAACTACTTATAACTATAGGTGCACCTACTTTCACCTATAAGTGCATGTAATTTTGCCTTGTTAGCATTCACTTTCCGCAAACATTCATGCACCTGGGTGTGCTTATAACTATATGTGACTACAAGAAAAATGCACATAGACAACGGTTAATAACCGTTGTCGTAGGGGTAAAATTTCTGTTGTTGAAGCCGGTGTTGTTGTCAGTCCCGCGCATAGACAACGGTTAAAAAAACTGTTGTCTTTTTTAGAAACAACAACGATTTTTTAACCGTTGTCTATTAAGTGTTGTTGAAGCTGGTGTTGTTGTAAGTCATGCCCATAGACAACAGTTTTAAACCGTTGTCTTTTCTAGAAACGACAACGGTTTTTTAACTGTTGTCTATTAAATGTTGTTGAAACCGGTTTTGTTAAAAGTCACTCACATAGACAACGGTTTAAAACCGTTGTCTTTTCTCGAAACGACAACGGTTTTTTAACCGTTGTCTATTAAGTGTTGTTGAAACCGATGTTGTTAAAAGTCACACACATAGACAACGGTTTTTAACCGTTGTCCTTTCTATAAACGACAACGGTTTTTTAACCGTTGTCTATTAAGTGTTGTTGAAATCGGTGTTGTTAAAAGTCACATACATAGACAACGGTTTTAAACCGTTGTCGTTTCTTTCAAAGATAACTGTTTTTGACCCGTTGTCTATTCAATGTTGTTGAAACCGGTGTTGTTAAAAGTGATGCACATAGACAACAGTTTTTAACTGTTGTCTTTTCTTTAAAAGACAACAGTTATAAACTGTTGTGTATTGTGTGTTGTTGAAATCGCCGTTGTTAAAAGTCACACCCATAAACTGTTGTCTTTTGTAGAAAAGTCAACAGTTTCAAAATGTTGTCTATTGTAAAATAGACAACGGTTTTTAACCGTTTTCAACCTGCTTAAATTTTTAATCATATAAAAAATCAATTTATTCATTCACCATGGCCAAGTGTAGTTACATAATTTTGCACAAGCTAATAAGGTTCAAAATAACAAGTCAAAATACTTCCATCACCAATTCTAATTATCATCCAAGTCATAATACTACAAAAAACAATTCTACGAACCAAGTCTAAATAATCACAACGTTCTAATGATCAAATCATACCTACTCTATATAACTTGATAGAATATCCGCCCATTGAGAACGCACCGGATCAATAACCACTTTGTCATAATCAACATGTTGGAACTACATGTAAAAAGAGAGTAAATAAATTAGTATAGATATAATAAATTTGCAATGAAATGAGAAATAAGTTAGCCATGAACAACATATTAAAGAGATTCTCATGCGAAATAAGTTAGCCATGCGAAACAAATGCCATATAATATAATAGGTGCCACACAAACAAATTTGCACTTCAAACAATCAAACATTGAGTTGGAAGAAATGAAAGCACAATCTATAAGAAAAAATTAATCAATGCAAGATCTAAGGCAATACTTACCTGCTTTGCTCCAAGAACCAAGGGAATAAGGCATTCGGGCTCAGTTGATTGTGTGGATTCATCAATGAGCAACTATACATAAGCACTTGGAAATAAGCACTCCAAATAAACGAAATAAGATAACATACTGTTTGTATCATTAGCTATTCATGCAATTCAACCTGACACAGGTGCAACTAATGACATCTGCACTTTGAGCTATCTCTCTCAGTTTGCCCATTTCAAAGCTTTATATTTCTTTTCATCTTTGAGCAGTTGTAGCTTGTGAAGCTCACTCTTTTCATCACAAATATTAAATTATTCATAGCTCCTTGACAAATATCAAATATCAAATCCAATAATTTACCAAATCCTACTATGAGTATGCACATGTATATAATAGGGAGCAAAAAATAATCATCCTCATTATCAAACCAAAATAATAATAATAATAATAATAATAATAATAATAATAATAATAATAATAAAACTACTATAATCTTACACAATAAAATTCCACCTTCTTTGTGTGATTGAAGCGATTTCTCAAATACTTCTTTACCAAATTCTAAGATTCAACACTTGTTTTATTTTTAGTTCGATTTCAATGAGAATTTGTTTCATACAAAAATCCAAAATAGTCATTCAAAAGGAATACTCATTACTCACAACAAAATATATAGGGACATTTTACAAATTCAAAAGGATTAATGATCTAGCAGTAGAAAAATATAAATAGACCACCATCTAGGGAAAATGATGACATTATCAAGCTACAGAAAATGCATAGTATGGATGTATGGATGTTTTAACACATATACCTAGGCACATTACGTGACAAGTATTGAGCACCACACTCAGATACCCAGCACAAGCAGCAAATCAAATAGCTAACCAGCTTCTGCAGACCAAACCTTTCTGTCTGCATTCCAGTTATAGACTTCAGATCTCACCACCAGAGTCCACTCAGCCCCATGGATCTTCACTTTTTCCTTTCAAGAGCTCTAGCAACCCAATTATTATAGTCATCCTTATGCATCATTTTCCAAGGAGGAATCAACATCATGGCTGCAACATCCCTCCTCTTAATAAAGACTTGGGATGTTACAACTTCTGCAACCAAATAGATCTGGAACTGCAGTTCAGATTCTGTTCTGCACCATCTAGCAGCAACAACCCTCCACCTTTGAGGCTTTGGATTGCTGCTTCTAGCCTCAGGTAGGTCCACCAAGGCTGGTGGACCCTCCTTATTCCTCCAATTCCAGAGATCAAACCAATGCAACCACCTGTAGCTTCAAAACCAAAATCTTGTAGTGTTAAAACCACACATTTTTATACATATTGAACAAATCTATACCGCACACAACACACTCATTTGCAAAAGGGAGACCCATAGTATGGAGATACAATATGAGAAGAAAATATTTTCAGGGGAAAAACTTGTCTGATGGCCATGGTCCTATAATTTTAGACTCTTCATATTAGTCACCTATATTTCGCTCCACATTTAGATCTCAATAATACACAAAATAATAATTTGATGGCCAGCTAAAGTTGAAGATAAAGAAAGTAACCTGCTCTTTTTTCTGCTCAATAGTATACAAACTCTGTAAACAAATACTAAAATCCCCCAACATTCTCTGTTGCTTGGGATTTTATTATCAACCCCTTTCACCATATATATAATCACTGTAAAAAACAAAAATTTATTCATGATATTAGCTTCCTATATAGATATTAACTGCATGTGAATGTTTCAGGAAATGGACATATTAGATAGCCACGGTAACCAGGCAAATAACATGTTCCTTTTTCCTGGGTGAGCTACCAAAATCCTTTTGTAGGACTCACATTGTAAAATAAATGCCCTAAACTTTAAATCTTATTTAACAATGTTGGAATGTGTTTTTGGATTGGACTTGGCATTCTTCTATCTAGATCTAGGATTGTCTCAGTCATATACAGTTTAAAATCAAGAAAATGGCAAAAATCTTCATTACCACAGATTAATCTCCCACTAAACATTGATTCACAACCAATAGCAATATTTTAAAGAACTAAAATAACACAAGTGCAAAGAAATACAGTGCATTTAACCAATCATACATATACCCGGCCGATGTATTTAATCAATCCAAACAAAGATATACACAAAGAAATAAAATCAACATAGAGATTTAGGGCTTAATGAAGTTATGATATAGGGATAAATAGAATAAGCAATTTTGGGATTAGAGTTTAACATTTGAGTAGTACAACAAACCAGTAGCGAGCAGAGACGGAGAAGGCGACGAGCTGAGCATGGATGAGGCTGCAACGGCGGCGGACGTTGGAGGCGGCGACGGCGGCGGAGGTTGGAGGCGGCGACGGCGGCGGAGGTTGGAGGCGGCGACGGCACGATTACGGCGATTGTAGTTTTGTTCGACTTCGACTTGGGGATGGGCGGCGACAGAATTCACGAATGAATATTAAGTTTTCTCGCATAAGTGTTTTAATTTGTTTTGCAAAGAGGGAATTGAATTATTTTATTTGACCAGGACTATGTGGTCTAATGGTACCCGGGTTGGACTTTCATTTGGAAGGTTGTAAGTTTGAGCCTCAATGGAGGCGTTATTAGCTCGTTGTGTTTCAGTAGGTTGAGAAAGTATATGAACAGATACTACAATGTAACAGAGCTAGTAGCATTCAAAAAAAAAAAGAATTATTTTATTTGAGAGGGAGGGAGATTTTTTGCAAAATGTGCAAGTCTTGAAATTTAAAATTTAAAGAATAACATATATATCTAATATATATAAGTCAAAATTATTTTGACTTTTATTTTTATTTTTTTAAAATAACATATATATCTAATATAATAAGCAAAATGACTAAAGTTTTATTTTTATTTTATAATAAGTCTTTATTTTTTTTCAAATTAAATAAGTATATTCACGATTTTATCGGGACCGGGTCCACCATAAACTGGGTATATAGGTACAGAACGGGGGTAAGAAAATAGTAACTTTATTACCTGGGGTGCTAGGCCCAAAATAGTACCGGGTATATAGGTACAAAACGGGAGGTAAGAAAATAGTAACTTTATTACCCGAGGTGCTAGGCCTAAAGTAGAACATATAAAGCCCAAAGTACACGTCAAGGCTGTTGGGATTGGGTCACAATAATATTACGACAAAAAATGAATGTTCCCGAGTATATAGGTACAGAACGAGGGGTAAGAAAATAATAGCTTTATTACTTGGGGCACTAGGCCCAAAATAGTAACAGGTATATAGGTACAGAACGGGGGTTAGAAAATAGTAACTTTATTATCCGGGGCGCTAGGCCTAAAATAGTACTTATAAAGTCTTAGGTATAGGCCCAGGCTGGCGGCCCAAATATAAAGATCCAAATACAAAGGTCACGACCCAATGAATGGGCTACAGCTAATTATGCTAGCGCAACTAATAGGAACCGAACCCCAAGTGACTAGGTTGAGGCCGGGTATAGACTAGACACCACTAGACTATGGTGCCTGTAGGCCGGGTATATTCTATGGTTTTATAGGGACCGGGTCGCTAGACCCAAAATAGTACCGGGTATATAGGTACAGAACGCGAGATTCATAGATTTTTATACTGTAGATTCATAAATTCTATACTGTAGATTTATAAAATTTTTACTCTAGATTCATAATTTAAATACAGTAGATTCATAATTTCTATACAGTTGATTCATAATTTGAACATAGAATTCTGTAATTGTGAATATAGAGTTCAAACATACCGCCCTCAACCCCTCCACACCATACCGCACCATTCTGAACACCACACCGCATCGCACAGGGCCGTTCTATGGCATGTAATTTAATGAATTGAAAATAAAACTTTAATGAATTGACATTGAAATTTTGGTGAATAATTTTATATTTAAATATGAACGAAAATAGAGCTATTAAATTAACTTTTGAATTGTATTATTTCTTTGTTAAATTTTATGCATTATATTTGGACCAAAAAAATTAATTATATTTTTATTTTTGTTCTAGATCTTCTAAACATCTATTTTCATCTCGTAACAAAAACAATGAAGGTCCAAATTATAGATAAAAGATAAGGTGTAACACTTTAGTAAATAAGAGTTAGTGTGGTTTGGTGGGTTTAGTGTTGTTTGTTATGTTAGAGGTCATGGGTTTTATCTTTCTTGGTGGCATCCTTAACCTATATTTTATACAATCATTGTCTTGGTTCTCAGAGACAACATAGAACCAAACTCGTTATATCTTAGATATTGCGCTTAAATACATAAGTGTTGGTGTGACTTAGTGGGTTTAACTTAGTTTGTTATGTTAGATTATGTTAGAGGTCTTGAGGTTTATTTTTCTTAGAGGCATCCTTCACTTATTTCATAAAATCGTTGTTTTGGTTTTCATAGACAACACAGAAGCAACCCAGTTATATACCAGATGTTGCACTTTGGTACAAAAGAGTTTGTGTTGCTTAGTTGGTTAAACCTTAATTGTTATGTTTGAGGTCCTAGGTTTGACTCTTGTTGTTAACATCCTTGTTTATATTTTATACAACTGTTGTCTTTTATAAAATAATGATGCGCAAAGACAACGGTTTTTTATATAACTATATAATTGTTGTCTTTGTAGTGTTGTGTATTCAAATACGCTTAAAGACAACATACCAAAGACAACGGTTAAATAAAACCGTTGTCTTAAACAAATAAAGAACGCGCAACGACAACGGTTATATAAAACCGTTGTCGTTGTAGTGTTGTATATTCAAGTGCTATTAAAGACAACACATAAATGACAACGGTTAAATAAAATCGTTGTCTTTGTAGTGTTATGTATTCTAGTGCGCTTAAAGACAACACACCAACGATAACGGTTAAATAAAACCGTTGTCTTTTTTAAAAAAAAAGAGCGCACAAAGACAACGGTTTTAAACAACCGTTGTCTTTCTAGTGTTGTGTATTCTAGTGCGCTTAAAGCCAATACACCAACGACAACGGTTAAAAAAACCGTTGTCTTTAAAACAAAAAAAATGCACATAGACAACGGTTTTAAAAAACCGATGTCGTTGTGGTGTTGTCTTTTCACAAAATGCACAAAGACAACACACTAATAACAACGGTTAAGTAAAAATCGTTGTCTTTGACAAAAGTGTTACATCAAAGACAACGGTTTTGGACCAAACTGTTGTCTTTTATACAAAAGACAACACTTTTCTTAAAAACTGTTGTCTTTCTAGTGTTGTCTATGTGCATTTTTCTTGTAGTGGTGCAACTATTTATAACTATAGGTGCAACTACTAATAACTATAGGTGCACCTACTTTCACCTATAAGTGCATGTAATTTTGCCTTGTTAACATTCATTGATCTGAGTTCAGCGGGTGGTAATACCCCTGAAAACCACTCGCAAACATTTATACACCTAGGTGCAACTACTTATAACTATGTGTGCAACTACTTAGAACTATAGGTGCAACTACTTAGAACTATAGGTGCAACTAAGTATTGATGCTCAGTGTAAATTTTTACTTGCACCTATAATACATTTTACATGCACTTGTAATACATTTTACTTGCACTTCGATGTTCAATTATTTACGAAAATGTCACCGCGTTTTTTAAAAAAATCAGTGTTTCTCATCCATTAGATCTGGACACGTGGACGAACAGAATTCATTCCTATTTCGCGTCTGGGCGAAGCATTCGCACCTTAGTGCGAATATATATATATATATATATATATATGTATATATATATATATATATATAGGTAGAGGATCAAATGAGGTCATGTTTCTAGATGAGGTTTGTGGTCAAATATTGACCCTTGATTTTAGTTAGATCTATGGCTATTGTTTGTTGGTTTATTTTTAGGATGATTCTTTTTAATTATTGCCGCCATTTTAGTTGGGGTCTTTTTAGTCTTTGTATTTTTTTCCTTTTAGTTGTTTATTTTATTTTTGGTGATTGCATGTTTGTAGTTGGCTTAATTATGGTAATTAAGATTTCTTTTGATTCCCTGAGTTATTTACCGTGTCTTTTTTATATTGTCTTCCTAGTTCACTGGTTTTAGTTGTGTTGCTTTGTGGTTTGTCAAACACTATTGTCACACACTTTTACTTTTCTCGGTCCTTTAATTTTTAAATTAAAATTGCATTTACATAATTACTTAGGGGGCACACTTTCGTCTATCTAATTCGTTTGCAGTTGCTCTGTTTCTTAATTCTTAGTTGCACAAGTTTTAAACGGGTTAGTACCCATTTTGCCAATATTAGATCACTACCAAATCCACGTAAAATTGCATTACTATAAACTTCATCGTTGCACACACCAGTGTTGGGGGGTTTCTATTGTTTGCACATTCTTTCACGCCATCGTTGCACGGATCCTAAATAATGAATATCCATTACTCGTTAGTAAACTGTTACAGATTCGCAAATTTGATTTTCTATTAACCCTCAATCAGTAGCCAGTAGCATGTTTCTGAACCTATTATTGCCAATGTCAGTCAATAACTTTAATGCTACAACTTTATGTATTCTAATAAATTAATGCACATTAAAGACTCTTCTAAAAAAATACCATGTTGCACAATCATCTTCTGGGAAAATTATAATGGTTGCACATTCGACAACTTCACTATTTTTTTCCAGTAAAACCATGATTAAACATTTGACGAAACGATAACACAAGATAGTTACTAGCAAATTTAAATGGTCTAGTTGCATGGTACTCTATGTTCTCCATGCCTCTTTAAGTCATAAAAAACTAATGTCAAAAGTCGTATAAAAAAGAGTAAGTCACTTGTGTTGCACCCACGTTAGCAATGAAATCCCTTTAAGTTGTTGCGGTAACTAGAGAGGCTACATCTGTTGCATGAATTCTCCATCCTCAAATATTGGTGAGCTTGCGAGGTTTTTACCGTGATGCTCGTTGCACTAGCTAAGTAGGATGTCCTTCATGTACTTCATTCTCAGTGCCTCTGTTATGGATTTGTCTCCTTTCCTTAGGCCACACTCCCACCCGGTTGCTTTCTCTCCTATGAATGTCTCCATGTGCCTCATTGCGTACACTCCACTATCCATATTTTCGTTTGCATCCCTCCATTGCATTTGCATTCTTTTTGGCTCCATTTTTAGTATTTCAGGTCCCATTTTATGGTCTTTCGTATCATCTAGGAAACAACCCATCATGTCTTTCTGTTGACATAAAATTTCAGTAGTTAGTAACTGAGCTTTGGTCACCATCTTTCATTATGAAAAACAGTAGGTACGCTCTAATTTTTTGTCACGGTCCATACCATGCGCTGTAATGCACATTAAATGGTGTCCTAAATGCAAAATATTTATTCATCCAAATGCGCCGTTTATTACTATGTGTGACCACTAATTTTATCACACATCTTCACAGTATATTCACAAATTTATACACACCAACCATT